CAAAGTGCGTCACACTAATAACATCATAAAAGTTTTTATAAGCATTAAATATAAAGTCAGAACAACAAGAACAATGTATGGATTCAAATCCTTCAATACAGGTGAGATGAAGATATGAGTAAATATGTTTTTTTGTTGTTGTGATCCTCTTTACTAAGACACTGTAGTAATCAGGGAGCTATTAATTTGAGCGACTCATTAATAATAACGGTATTATTTTGTTACCTCTGTTGGATTGAGCCAGTCGTCAGGGTTGTCGTCACTTTTCATGGCGCAGACAACAGCCTTGGTCACCGCTTCACTGACTCTGGCCACATCATCTGCTTCCTGTGCAGGAACAGAGATTCGAGAACCGCACATCAAGATAATTGGACTGAATGATACAGACACAGTGTCGGTGTTGGCTGCAGGCACACTTTGTTGTGTCTGTGACCTTGCAGGGAAAGCTGCACGGGGACTCGATGTTTGAATAAACATTTGTCTGGCGGCACGGAGACTTTTGTTCATGCAGCACACACTCCTTGATGTCCACATACACTCATCATAATGACAGGGAATCTTTTACTGCCAGACCTGTTCATTATTCAAAGCCGAGAGCAGCCTTCATCTGGGAGCAGGGGCTCGTCGGAGGGCAAAGAGGTGGAGAGCTAACGCGCCTCTTATTTATTTCAGACACGGAAAGTCATGGAACATCTTTTCTTTTTTGTTTTTTAGGTTGTGAGCCGAACTTGCCGGGATGCTGGGGCTGCTTACCAACTCAATCCAGGAGTTGACGCTGACAGTGACGGGATCCACTGACTCCACATAGTGCCACCAGTGTCTGGGAACATAAAGCACCTGAGGACAGAAGATAAAATGGATTCACAGTTAAAGGTACAGTGTGTAGAATTTAGTGATATCTAGTGTTGACGTTGCATGAAGCAGCTGAACACCCCTCACCTCCCCCTCTGCTTCCAAACATGAAAAAGAACCTGTGGCAGCTTCAGTTGTTATAAAAACTGAAAAGGTGTTTAGTTTGTCCAGTCTGGACTAATGTAAAAAACATGGCGGCCTCCGTAGAGAGGGTTCCCTCCATGTAAATATAAAGTATTTAAATATAAAGTATATAAATATTCAGGGCTTTTTCTGGGGTAAAGAAAACTACAATTCATACAATTTAGATGAAAAGAACTAGTGAAAACATCATGAGGATTATTCTATATTAAATTTCTGTCAATAGATTCTTTCACCTGAATCTTACACACTGGAGCTTTGAGAGACATCACCAACTCCTCTCCTCTTTGTCTTCAGGCCTGCGATAAATGTTGTGAGATTTCAAACTTGTTTGATTGTCCACTAGATGGCAGCCTACACCTTCCCCCTCTCAGTCTCATTGATTCTCTGCCTTCTCAGCAGTCTTGATTCATTCATGGCCTGTGATCTGATAAAACCTGACAGACGGACTGTCCTTTGGTTTAATTTGCAGAGGTGGAGCCATTTTTTATAGTTGGAGAATATCTCTATCCCACAACTATCCATTCTGTTTCAACAGCTTAGCTATTTTCAAGTGTCTGGTAAAAACAATCTAAGCACAACAATATAGCTTTCAATGGCATGTAAAGGCCAGCTCATTGATTTATAAATCATACACAGCCCCACAGAGATCAAGGAGACCGCCGACATCTGACGCCAAAGGTCAGACTTGAACCAAGATTGCGGTCACAACCTGTTTCCCATATTTTACTACTTGTTGTTGTACGACTGAGTAACGAGGTCACGCAATAACACCTCAGCAAACATTTGCTGAATAAAGGCTGTGAGATGTTGTTGGTAGATCTGGAAGCCAGGAAACTGACCTTCTTCCTAATGATTAGATTGAATCATTATACAGACCTTTTTCACAGCGGGAAACATACTCGTGTAAATAATGAAATCAATTACTGGGACAGCCTTTGTTGCTGTTATCAGGAACATCTGGGTCTTTTCTAGTGTGACAATATGTTTGCTGTGAAAAAGGTCTAGGTCACTGTGCTTAAAAGAACGTCAGACCTTTGACCCTGGGATCCACGTGAAGGTAACGGTGAGCCTAAATATAACTGCTAGCTGTTAGCTAGCGAAGCTGCTTCTTGTGTTCCTACAGATTTTTTCAAATTCTCAATGATTCCTGAGATGTCGTCATCAAACCCTCATGACACAGAAATGTAACTGAAGCTTGATATTTTTTCACTTCAACCGAACTATTAATAACTATAAATAAAAAAATATAACAAAAATATGACCAAATGTATTTATAGCTTGAATTGAGGATTGTAATTATTCTGTAAAAAGCAAGTCAGTCATGCTCTAGAACAAAATCACCCTGGAACACTATGAGTCTCTGAAAACCAGGTTAGCTTCCGGTTGCACAACCTCTCAGTTATAACTGTCACTACTCTGAACTCACCTGCTTCGGAAGCAGAACTGAGGACGGGGACTTGAGCGATCTGTCAGTGGATCTGCTGACCCACAGGTGATCCTTTAAATTCTCTGCTTGATAAGACGTCAGGAGCGATGACGCTGCAGACTCTACTTGTCCGTTGTAGCTGAACCCTCCATTCCCTTAAACATAAAACCTTCAGGCTGCTGAAGGTGAAACACTAACTGAGGAGGCCTGAATTTATTTGGAACACAAGGTCCGACCATTGCCTTGCTTCATGCTTTTACGGTGGACACCACGACAAATAAATCTCACAGTTCAGTCTACTTTTACATGTTGTGAGCTTAAGGACCAATAAAGCAATATTTTATTGTTATTGCTTCTGTGCCACAAGCAGTTTATCTCATAAATGCAGAGTGACAGTATTGCATAAGATCCAGCATCAGTAAATCACTCACACTAGGTTTTCAATGCCTGGAAAACATGTTAAAATAAGTTTTCATCACAGCTTGCTACAGGATAATGTTTATTTTATTTAGGATTATTCACCCACCATGAAATTAGTCGCAGATTATTTTTTATTAGTCTTTTCACTAATTGGTGAATCAACTAATTATTTCTTAGCTTTGGTCTTGTACATATGAGCAAGCTTTTAGATTGTGACTATCCAATTATGTAGATTCAATTCAAAGGCCTTTTTAACTTCAAACTAAACAGAACAATAAAATGCCTAGAAGAAAATTTGATAATTGTGTATAAAAAATGTAATTAAAAGGAGAAAAAATTATAATTTAAATAATGGCTTGTTGACCCATCATCATTGATGTTTGTTGTTTTTAAAGAAAATCAGTGTGGATATTTGCTATCAATTTATTTACATCCTTTACTTTCTGTACATAAGCCATAGACTGTATAATAAGATGGACGACACGTCCTCAATTCCTGCCACTATACCAAATCAATACCAAAAATAAAGATTAAAAACATCATTTGGAGCCAGACTCTGAGCAGTAGCTATTGGGGAATGGAGCTGTAGTATTGAGGTATTCTTGTAAATACTATCTCAGAGAACTCTGACCTGTCCTGGCTGCAGAGTGACGACGTGGACCCTGGCTCTCTGAAAGTCGGGGAACCTCCTCAGGTCTGGATGAAGCACGTCCACCTGGCTGAAGACACTGGACTCCTCATAGGGGATCCTGGTTGGGTAGAGTTTGGAAGAGTCCTCTGGAGGAAAGAGGTGCCAACGTTTCCTAAAGAGAGGAAACATCACCATGAGATACGACTTCAGATAACAGAGCACACAAACACTGTTGTAAGATATTAATTCAGAACGGAGTCAGTAAATGACCCAGTGAGTCATAAATTCAGACTGAGTGGCTTGGCCAACAACGCAGCTTTCCAGAACTGTAAATAAAACCTTTAATGCACTGTGACAGAGCGCAGTAAACACTAGATTATGAAAACAGTTGTCCATCGCACCAGTGATGGACTGAGATAAACAACACAAATACAGGAATCACATAACAAATGTTGTCACTATGAAGTACTTCAGTGAAATACAGGCAATCTACACTGTTTTTAATATTATTTGCTTATTGGCTGTTATTGTTGAAAATCTGAATAAAAACAAAAATTAAATTTCGATTTGTCCTTGTAGTGGAAAAATAACTAAGTGTGGTGGAAAACTGTTTGTGAACTGAAACCTGCATGGCCCTTCTATTACTTACTGACTGTCCACGTAATTATGCTCTCTCTTAATAGGAAACCAATACAAATACGTTTCCTGTGTCTTAATTCCTGTCTGAAACCTACAGAACCAGTCTGAACCGGCTCAGACAAACAGCCTTACTTCTCCTATAGAAGATGCTTTCATGTGACTGCTCTCCATCAACACTCTGTGTACTCTGATCCTTTTTGCAGAAAGCCCCGAATAAAATGAACATAGACACATTTTGTAATCCAGCCTCTTGTATTTTCAGATTCCCATCACATCGTCTTCGTCAGAAGTTCAAAATTCTGAATCCTGAGAGATGATATAAGCTGATGGAGCTACCTAGAAAATAATTAGTGTAAAAGAATCCAGTGTTCTCCAAACAACAAATGATCATTGTTTCTGATCCATTGTCACAAATGTCATGGAATCAATCAGCGGTGTTGTACTTTCATGGATCAGCAGTGTCGAAAAACTGCTCGAGCTGAATTTCATTCTGTCTGAGATCAATAACGAGTAAAAGAACCTGAGAGCCAATTACACAGAGTGAGATAAACTCTCGCTCTCTAGGAGAAGTGAGATACAACTGGAATTACCAACTCGCAAACCAGTCAAGTTCACACTTTAGTCCTGAAGTCATGTAATATATGTAGTGAAGACTTTTTGTCATAATTAGTGTATGATTTTTGAATTATTATCGACCACCAAAATGTGATCAGTTCGCCCTCACAGTCTCCATTTCCCTCCTGCTCTGTGACAAGTTAATTCTTTCTTAGAGGTCAGAGGACGGATCACAATCTGTGTCAGCAGTTACACTACCCTTCCCCTTCGGTTACATGGTTAACGGGCAGAAAACTGCCACCAGCATCATCGGCGTGCTGAAATACAGCTGTGAGTTCATAGAATCCTCAGTCTCCTCCCTGCTCAGTTACAACTCCATAAAGAGCACAGAGCCATTATCACAGCGAAAGAGCAATGTCATTTTATTTTACAGCATCTCTGTGGGTGTATCTCTCTCTGTATTTCTGGTGCCTGATAAAGATTAGATAATAGTCAGACTGTACATTCAGCCCCAGTAAACATGCACCAAACTCTGAGTCTACTTTACATTAAGCCTGGTGGCAGGATGCAGTGTGGGCAGCTATGGGTCCTTGCTGAAGCATTATCAATCTTTAGGAGATGATATACAGGATTACAAATTATATTCTCCAGCTTCACTAGTTTATTATCTCTGTGCTATGTATAACTGCCTTTGTTTCAAGGGTTAGCCAACAGGGATAAGGATTCAGTGGAGCTTGACATCTTTTTTTATTTGCACAGTCATTTCCAGTTTTCTTGGCGTTTCCATGATTCGCGTGTAGTTTGATTAAATGTTGGACATGCAGCCTCTTATGACATGAGTTTATTGTTTTGACATGCTTTGCTTTGTCCTGTTCTAACAACCTTTTCCATGTAAAGCACCTTGAGCTGCACTTTATCCTATAACATAAATAAAGTTAGTTGTCATCTTGTCAAACACTAGTTAACATGCAGATGGTGCATGTCTCTTACATTTTATATTTTTGAACACTATTTGTCCTTGATCTGCAGCACAGAGCAAAAGATTATTTCTTATTGCACCGACAATTTTACCATATCACAAGTTTCAAGGCCGCAAGTTTTGCCTCAGTTTTGATTTGTGCTGCATTTAATTAAAGCCTTTGTTATGACTTGAAGCCGTATTGACAAACCACTGAGGCGAGGAAATGAGTGATGTTTTTATTTAAAGTCCCGTCGATAACATCACAGTGGGTGCATATTTAAAGATGCATCTCACATTTGTTCATTACTGACCGCATTCACACGTTTCAGAAAGAATATTGTACTGTTGAGCTGTGTGGCTTATTTCTGGCTCACAAATCGGGGACTATTTTCAGCTACAAATGTGTTAAAATGTGCAGCAAGTTCCAAGGTAATCACGTCATATTTGTTCAATCGAAACAGAAATAACAGACATGAGTTCTGTAACTTAATCGCAACAAGAATCCCACAAGTAGCTTGAAGATGTGAAAGAAGAGTCAAGAGTAATACCTACCAAAGAACTAGGTATCTGTTTATGTGAACGTGATTATTCTAATCAGATAAGTCAATTTTTCTAAGGAAATAGGGGATTAAAGGCAGTTTCATCTAATCACAAACCACTCATTTTTTCCTTTGCTTTTTAACTGCTCTATAAACACGGATGGATTTATAATCTGTCTACTTTGGTGCATAGAAAAAGCAGCAAACATATGCTGTGATCCGTCTTACCGTCCTTGCACCTGTAGTACCAGGTTACAGCCATAAGAGTCCAGGTGACAAGGTGTGTTTGCCCCCTCCGTGCCAATCCACAAGGTGCTCTCTCTCCCATTGCGTCCCTCAAAACCGAAGTCGGACCACTTTACATCCTGCAACACACACGCACACACGCGCACACACACACACACACACACACACACAGTCTGTTCTTATTTTTTGTCACACTGTCACAGCTCTGCTCACAGAGGTACCCCCACCTCGTCAGCTGCTTTGACAGGCTCTATTATAGGTGACCAATGGAGGTCTCTTTGTTAGAAACCAAACTACAATATTTGTCATCTTTCCACAAAAACCGGCCTGTCAATCATGTCCTGTCAGAGCATAAAGGTGTAGCAATCATGGCAGCATCCTGAATAATGAATTCATTACCATATATGCAGACGGCTGTAAATGACAGGCTGGTCAATCTAGCCTTCAGGCAGCCTTTTCCCAGAACAATTTATCCTGTGAAAAGTCCATGTCTGCCTGTCTCAATGGCATAAGACAGGTGGGTAATAATTGCAGGTGGAAGTCTAATAAAAATGTATCGCACAGATAAAAATGAAATGAACGAGTTGCAGTGGGTGGAGAAATGATGGCACTTTTTATGTCTTTACCTACCGCAGGACAAAAATAGCCGCTAATAGAAAGTGTACGTGAGAAGATATTTTAATTGAAAATGTCAAAACAAGGAATAATAAACTTTGTGAAAAAAAAAGTCACAAATGAAAAATGGTCTGTATTTAATTCTTCATTTGTTGATAAGCTTAAGCTGTTGCAACCCGATTAGAAGGTAATAGTATGGAAATGATTATTTTAAATTAAACTTTTAGAAAACTGCTTCTATATGTGGTTATTGTCAACTCCAAAAAACATTTGTTATTCATAATGGGTTACCGTTCTCCAACCCTTTTGATTACAGTCAATGCTGGTCCAAGTTAAAGGGTAACTCTTTAAATTCAACAGCCAATGAGTCAGAATGACTCGAAGAGACACTGAACCAGTTACAGAGGCACACACATCTTGTTTTTTTACACATATGAGATCTGTAGTGGAGCCAGAACCACAAGTCTGAACCAGTTCTTTGTTAACAGCTGTGATATGGGAATCATATTCACACAGACAGAATGAGGAGACTTGAGCCTCAGATATGTGACATGGTTGTGTGAACGTTGAGGCCGGTACAGACCACAACCCACCTAAAGTAGCACCATTACAGCCAATATGTCCCGCAGGTGGGATGGTATAATTCAAACATGTAGATATGTATGCAGGAGCCTGGTTACCTCAAACATGAAAGGCTGATCTTGAAACAACATGGCGATGTACTTGTAGTCAGCATAAGCCCAATACTCTGAGTATGAGAATTCAGAGAAAGGCCCAACATCTGTCCCACACTGACCCCGGGTCCAACAGAGAAAGTGCTCCAGCTCGGCCTCCACATATGAACACTGGGTTTCAAACAGAGGGGCTTTGAAATCAGGAAAAATAGAAAGAAAAGAGGTACAATTAGAGAATCACAGCACTATGTATCATAATGTAGGCATGAGATTCTGTTACACTTTTATGGAAAAAATAAAATATTTCCTTATGTTGTTGTTTCAAACAAGTGTGTCTATAATTGAGTGATGGCATTAATAATGAGCAATGTCCTGTTAGCTTGTCAGCTGCTGCAGGAAAAGATTTAGAAATCTAATTAGTTTGCTTTTATCAGAGGACACGCTCCCTGTTATTCATCACAGGAGGAGACATTACTGTAGCTGGTCTAGAGCCACTAGGACGGCAGAATACACCAGATGCTTGAAGCCAAATCCCCTCGATGCCTTTTTTGGCTTGTGTCACAGCGTTCAATTCATCAGGTCCCACTAACATACCGTCTACCAGCCCTGTCTTCATCAACACCCCGTTCTTACTGTTGATCTCCTCTTTTCTCCCGAGTCTAAATCGAATCAATTTGTCGCTGAGGCAGACGGACAGGTGCTCTGCCGTCCACTGGAGCGCCGGCCAGTCACAGGTCATGTTCATGAAGACTGCCGGCTGCTGCAGGCGATGCAGAATCCTCTGGGTCTCTGCTGTGCTGAAGGGTTTCACAGCGTCGGAGGCAGCCATGGTTTGTAATTCACGCTGGCAGTGGGTTGCAACAGAAGATGTAAATAAATAAATAAAAAACAGATTTTTTTTGAGTGTCACCTTTTATTTCTGTTTTCCTCACTTGAATTGTCTTAAGCATTTCAACATATTTCTTATTTTGGTGCACAGAGTAAAAACACGTTCACATTCTACGTGAAGACTCTGGTCATGCATCACATCAATTTCTCTGTGACCCTAAAGTCACAGGTCTAAAACATTCATATTCTATATCCAAATGATTTCACACTTGACAAAACTGGTTGCACTACTTCATCCCATTATGTAACTGCTGATTACATTCTGAGCTGAAGCCAACACTAGCTTATATAGATGATAGGATTAGTAAAATAAAACACAAGGAACAATGCCACAGACTTCAAACATGATGAATCAACGATTAACTGATCATTAGGTAGCATTCATGTCACTGGTATCATACTTGCTAACTCCTTTAACTGCGCTTTATCCTCTTAAAAGACACGTGTGGCCATTTTCTTATCATGCTATTCTCATGAGGCACCGTGGTGTATTTAACGTGGGCAAACGAAACTTTACTTTTTAATCACACAACTCTGACAATACTAGTTAGCTGCCTTTAGCTAAATACCGATGCTACCAGCTAACCTCCCTGTTTGTGTGGATACACCACGGGGATGCTAAAGTTAGCCGTAACCGGAGCCCGGGAGGATTTCTGAAACACAAACAACAACTCACCTCGCGCCCACACGTGTAGTCGAGTTTCAGGCGGAAGTAAACAAAAGTCACATGACAGTGCAAGGGCGTCCGCTTTACATCTGGAGCTCGTCACCCTGCAGCTGCTCCATTCGGGCTCCGCGGCCGCTGCACCAGCCCGAGTCAAGCTAACGGTCCGGAGGAGCCGGAATGGCCGCCGACGGCAACAGCTTCCACTTCCTGGACGGTTTGCGTTCGCGCACGCGCAGCGAAGCGAAGTGACAGGGCAGAGGCTGTTATTGTTTTGTGAGCAGAAAGCCCCAGCGGGTCGTTCCACTTCTCCGCCGCTGAACGAGGCCCTCGACCCGGGAGTTTGACCGAAGCGACACCGGGACAGGAGGACCATGGGTGCCGGTTCGAGCATCGAGGCAGAGCGGGAGCCGCTGCTCGGTCCCTCCGGCGCGGAGGCGAGAGTACAGCCGGTGAACAGCGGCAGGGTGTACGGGAGAAGATGGCTGGTTCTGAGCCTGTTCTCTCTGCTGGGGCTCCTGCAGGGCATGGTGTGGAACTTCTGGGGACCCATCCAGAACTCGGCCGCGCACGCTTTCGGCTTCACCAAGTCCGACATCGCGGTGCTGGTGCTGTGGGGCCCGGCGGGCTTCGTCCCCTGGCTGCTGTTCATGTGGTTGATGGACAAACGAGGTGAGCGGTTCTGCTGTGGTACATCGTGTCCCACTGTTCGAGTCCCCGTTGGGAGCGGATTAGTGGAGACCGTGTGTGGAGCTCCTCTGTAGAAATGATTGGAAACTGGAGACAAACAGGAAAAGACAAAGTTATCACATGCTGGTGATAGTTGTTATCAGAAAAGTTGAAGATACAGCAAAGTCACTGTTTTGATATCAGGAACTTTCAGGAGATTGTCTGTGTATTTGATAAACCAACCAACCTTTTTTAAATTAGTGAATAACAGTGGACATAGACCTGTTATGGTATGATTTGATTAATTCACATCAATATGAGATAATCCCTTTATTAAACCAGCCAGCTCGAGTTTGTTTCACTTTTCGATTCAGAATATATTATGAGGCATATTATCATTTTGAGAAAGAGGTATTTTTTTATTTGATTAAGTCTATAAACAGTGAACAAACATTATAATTTCTGAAAGTTTTCAAAAATCTAAAGTTTAAAACCCATTTAACTCATATATCACTTATATTCAAGGTCAGCTATTTAACATTTTATCTCATTTGAAAAATATTGAAGGTTTTAAAAAGAAAGGAAGAGTTCAATAAAGAGACAAGTGCAAAAATTTAGTATTTCTACTGGATAACTTATTTATATGATTACAATGTGTTTTTATCATTGATGCTTTTTATTGGTTAATCAATTCATTAGTATATTGTTCATGAAGTGGATTTTTTTTCAATCCAAAACTTCATAATTAATTATAGATATAATATAATATAATATATATTAATTAATTAATTAATCTTCAATTCTTATACAGTTTCAATTATATTTAATGTAACCCACTTTCAAAAATAATTAAGGTTTGAAACAGATAAGAAGAGTTCAGTAGTTAGTATTTTTACTTATTTGATAAAGTTTTCTATCAGTTATTTTAGCACTGCTCTTCATGTAGATGCACACGTTTCACTTTCATCCACTTTAAGGTGAAGTTGAGATTTGTATTAACAGACTTCAGATTATCTGACGCTGGCAGATAAAACGACTCGTATAACTTTTCAAAATCAGTGTATGTAAAATGGTTTTCCCGTGTCCACTGTTCCATGTAGATGAGATGGAGACATTTGAGGGATAAAAACTACTCGTCTGAGAAAAATCTTTTCTCTTTCAAGAGGTTTCAAATTCACAGGAGAGGAGAAATTTACTTAAAGTACCTTTGAGTGATAACAGGGTGACGCCCTCTTGACTTCGGCTGCGGAGTTAGACACACTTCACTGAAACCAGTTCCTCTGCATCACCTGACTGACACGTCATAGATGAACTGTCAGATGACAACAACAGTGACAAGATCAGGGTAACCAGGCTGCTGACGATGTGAAGACCACAAATCATGCCAAGACATTACATGTGATCTTGATCTTGTGATTCTGATTCATCAGCGATTATTGGTTCTGGGTGTTTTGTTTGCAAAGGTTAGGTTGCTATGTTATACCTGCTGCTCCCAGTGAGTGGTAGGAACATTTTACTGATAAGACTGCTTAAAGTAAAGTTATCCTGGTGTCGACCCCCATTAGACCTGTGAAGTTATTGCTCAGGGTAACACCTGCGTTACAAACAAGTCTGCTCTGGAGTCATATATTGAATTAGGGGCATTAAGCACTCACAAATTGCATTAAACCACAATGTGACCTTGTTTAAAAAAACCCACATAACATCCAGAGGCTGCAACAGTCTCAAACTGTTTTTCTATGTTGGATACACACTCTCGTCACACAAGAACTCGGCTCTGCTTCAGGTTGTCAGTAGGGAAAATGCCTTACTTCCCTCTGGGGGTTAAACGTATCAACAACTCAGTAGCTGCCACCCGAGAGAGACTGTAAAATCTGAAGATCAAGCCCTTACATTTATGATATGTGATGCAGTGGCTCATATAAGCTGATCCTGCAGAATGTGTTAGCACAAGCTGGTCCACCTGTTTAACAGAGGTTGTAGCACTTGTATGTCAGCTTGGAGAATCTGGCCTCTGGGGCCTCACTGGGTTTTTGACTTTCTGTGGCTGTTGGCTTATTTTGCCTGTGTCAGAACGAATGCAGCATATAGAGTTAGTTGCTCTTTAAATGTTAAGTTTTGATATTTGATGCTGCAGAACAAGGAGACAAACGACTGACTGAATATATGCAAACATTGTCAGCATAGGCTGTAGTGTAATTACTTTCAAACACGACAACAACACACACCAGTTTTTCCCATCAGGCATCAATAAAATATGTTTGACAGGGGAAGAGAACAGCAGAGGGAAGTAGAGAGAGTTTCCTTAAATGAACGTCATGTGGGTGAAACTGAGACTTGAGAGTTGACAGAAAAATGCATATTTTTTCCTATTGATGCTGCCTCATGCGAAATCAAACAAGGAACTGTGGAATTCCTGTTGTCACCAAACGGAAACTACTAATAATATGTCTAATACAGACTGGTGTGAACTGTTTGGTCATTTTGGAGGCAGCAGTGCTTGGTGCTGTTGAGTTATATCAATGATTGTACACTGATGTTTGTAAGTCAATACAATTCAACAGCACCACAAAATTAGTCAAGTAGAATTAACACATCTCTTAATCTGTTTAAGCACTGAACATTATAACATTCCTAAAGATAGGATTCTGAAATGAGAGGATTTACTGCCTGTCACTGTCTTTTAATTATTTTAAAGTGAGTATATTTAGCATATGAACTTCTGGTCAGACTAATTTCTTACACATTCAGTTAATTAGAACTGGAAATAGTCATTAGCAGTAATCACCCATTGGAGGTAGTAAAATAATTAGATTATAAATATAGACTGGTGACCTCAACCATAATTCCCCCCTTTTAATGCCATTTCCTATCAGCCATTTTTATTTGTTTTTCTCCCCTGTTATAATCATGTCTTGTGTCTTCCAGGTTTGCGGGCATCCCTCCTCCTCTCTGCATTCCTCATGCTGATAGGAGCAGCTCTGCGGAGCATCCCACTAACAGATCTGCTTCTCAGACGATGGTAAGACTTCACTATTAACAGCTGGGGGTTCGAGGAGGGCAAGTGTGATGATGAGAGGAGGCTTCTGATGTCGGATGGTTGTGGTGATGATGATGATGCCACTGGCTTCTCAGGTGTGGGTCTTTGTAAGTGTCAGTTCTGAAAACAACAGCCCACAGCAGCAGGTTGTTCCAAACAGAGAAGCAAACTTCAGAGCGACTCTCCCTTGAATGGTAAAATCCTCAGGACGAACAGCTTGTCGTCACAGTGCAGCTCAATGATATGATGTAGTCAGTTGTCAGGCGCTATCGCCAGGTCCACAATAAACTGCTTAACAGATATGTTCAGTTCCTTTTGTTTACGTTTCATGTTGACAAGTGCCTGAAGGAGTTGTGCTCACTCACCAGGATATTCAGATGTCATTTCAGGGTCTTATTCTTGCCGAGTAGGAAAATAAACTGTTTGCTTGTGAAATTTTACTTTGTCTGGTGCAAGCAGCTCCACAGTGGCAACACGTCAGGAAGAACGCTTCTTAGCTTGCTCACCCCAAGAGTTGGCTGCATGAGTATGTCTAGAATGCACTCTTGTGAAAGCTGCTTGTTGGACATGGTTAGCTTTATCTAACGGCATCGGTCCTTACAACTCTCCAGTGTAGATGCATGAGATGTAATGATGCTGGAGATTGATCTTTTTCATCACCGCAAGTCCGTCCTTGCAAACTAGGCAGACTGGTTTGTCTTGACAAAAAATAGTCTTTTGTCCATTTCTCTTGGACTTCAACTTTTTACATCCATGTTTCTGTACAGTGCCCAGGACACTTGACACAACACACAGTTCCATGTGAGTTTGATTCACCCTGACTCTGATGTGATAGGATACAGCTGGAAGGGACCATGGTGAAGTACATGTAGGGATAAGTATTTAAACATTGCTTGATAGGGTGTTGACATTACTACTATTCTTGTCAAGTAAGTCATGGATCTTGAGGAAAAAAATCCAGCATATTAAGGGGAATGATATTTATGAATGTGTGCAATCAGGTGCAGTTTAATTAACTTTAAGGCAACTGTTGGGTCCTGGCAGAAGTAAGTGCTCCACTGAGTTCTAGTTGTATTTAGGAATTGTAGAGCAAAGTTAATGACTTTTATTGTTGCTTTGTCATGCTGTGTTCAGCTGTATTGATTCAAACCAAGGTCCTGTTTATTTCTACGTGTATCTGGATAGAGGAACGGTCAGAAAGCATCTGGCTGCTTGAGAACAGGAGTCTGAAAGACAGCTCAATATTGTGTGGATCCTATACTTTTTTCCTGTGTCCTTGCTGCCAGTTTCCAACCTTATCAGCCTGCACTTTGACAGACCATCACTGAAATCATAAAAAATCCCATTATTCTCTCTGTTTCATTCTCAGTCTTACTCGTGAGCTCAGAGTTCCTCTTTTGGAAAGTGCGAGAGCTCAGAGAAGGTCATTTCAATTATAATGTGCCTTTTTAAAATTGTAATCTCATTGAAT